TAAATCATGAGGTGTAAAAGTGGTGTAATGTTGCTGGATGAAATGGTAATTCTTGACTGAATATAATCATAAAAATATTACACTTAAAGATGCACCAAATGATCCACGAAATGCCTTAAGAATTAACGTTTGAATGATGATAAAAAGAAGCTGAAAATAGTGAACAAATTTCAAGCATTTGGTAGGTTGGGTTCGGCCAAATAAACAAAATTCAATGAAAAATTAATGTAAAATAAGTGAGATCACTAAGTATTGAAACCAAGACATAATTACATGAAAGTTACAAAAAAAATTAACAAAAGATTAAGAAAAAATGGATTGGAAGAGACTAAATTTCAAGCCTGCTGGAAATTGTAGTCTCGGCCAACTTTTAAAAAAATGAGCTTGGTTTAATTTTTTTTAAATGTGAGGTCATTTGGGATTGAACCCATGACATCACTAAATTAAAAATTCATAAAAAATTCGTGAGACAAATGCAAGGATAAATAGATGTGGTCATTGGTGAGTGGGGATTGAACTCGCAACCTCTTGAATGGATGAGAGAGTTAGGAGAAAAATAAAAGAGAAAATAAATTTGGAGAATAGGGATTGAACCCAAAACCTCTTGGATAGGTGAGAAAGTTAAGAGAAATTAAAAAAAATTAGCTTGTGGGGGATTGAACCGACAACCTCCTTGACTTAAACGAAAAAGGAGAGGACAAAAAGAGAGGAAATATTATGGGGTTTATGGGGATCGAACTAGGGTCCCCCAAGTCTGAAAAATGCCATTATCAAACATAAAATAAGATTAAGTGTTGTCCAAGGGATTTGAAATCGGGTTCCCTTGCCCAATTCCGTATTGACACATAAGACCTACGTAATTAAATATTTAATAAATGCTGCCTCTAAAGATCGGAATCAATATCTTGGCATATCTACAAGATGCATAAGTATAGTACCATATAATCTTGGGTAAATATGAATTACTTAGACAAACTATGAATGAAGCCCCATGGCTTGTATGTATAGTCCCATAAGTCTAGCATACGTTTAAAAGTAAGTGAACCTAAAATGTATATAATGAAATGATGAAACCCTAGAAGGGTTAAGTACGAGGGTAAAATACATTAAATGTCCAAGTGCCGTGACATATGATAAAATGAAAAATGAAATGATGAAATGAACAATGAAATGATGAAACCCTTGAAGGTTTAAGTAAGAGTGTGAAAAACACCAAATGGCCAAGTGCATTGGCATATGATGAAATGAACATTCACGTAAAAAGGGGTGAGTAACTATGAAGAGAAAATATTCTAATGATAATGAATGTGGTGACAACATGATATGAGGATAATGTCAAAGATGAGAGCAATCTCAAATGAACCTAAATAAATGTTACCAAAACGTACTCACCTATGAGAGTGTAAAGTTAATGAAGAGATCAGTCTCTATGAACACTCTAATTAAAAGTATTAAGATTAACACACTTAATACTAATGATGATATGGGAAATCATCTTTTGAGATATGATGTCCTCATACTAGAAGCCAACTTCCATGATGTATGAGTTGAATGTAATGGAGCTTTATGCTGAGCACCAATAGACTATCTATGAGCCGTAATACCTTCTTTCAGGCAGGGCGGAGGTTCACGTAACTCTCATGAGATGAGACTGCTCAGCATGCTGGGTATGAGTTTCCTTATATCTCCTAGTCTTCAAGTATATAATGAAAATATAAGGATTTGGCGGGGTTCGATTCCCATATACGCTAGCATGTTTTGGGTCACTTTGGCCGGCGATTCCACCTCTTTTCGGTGTGGGGTTTCATTACACTGGATTTCATGAAGATCACATGATCTATGTCGGTTAAAGTTAAAGTTCCCAATGAATGAATGAGGCATACCTCAAAGATGCACATAATGAAACGAATGATACTAAAGGTGTTAGGATAGGATAATCAAGAGGTTAGTTGGATTCAAGTAATGACATTAGGTCATTCTTGGTCATTCCAAAACGAACCCGATGAAAGTCTTAAACTACATCCTAGGTATAGATGGTGTTTACGCTAGACCATGAATGAAATGAAATGAAGTACGCACGAATGAACGAAGCAGGCTGTGTGTTTGCTAAAGAAGTCTCCCTAGTTGAGGTCCCATATGTAGAGTCCTCATTTTTGGAAAGTCTTAATATCAAGTCCATGATTCCAAGGTCTCATGACATACGAATGAATGATATGAACAACATTATATGTTACAGGAATTATGATATGTGCTATGTGTACGTTGTTGCATGCTTTGTGCAAAATGTTTAATATGATGATACATGTTACTCGCATGACATAACTTTCGTATTCCAAATTTGGAAAGTTCATAAACTTTCCTAATCCAAATTTGGGAAGTTCATTCCCTTTCCAAATCTCAATTCGGCAATTCCACTAACTTGACCTGCTATAATCATATAGCTAGGAAAGAGCTATTCTTTCTCATGCATGTCCTTGGTGTGTGCTTGCATATACCCATACATAGTACAAGTGTGTACTAATTCCATACAACTCTATATTTTTAGGTGCAGGAACATGTGGACGCTACAATTTACAGGTTGACGTTGCATCTATCCGTACGTGGATCTTTCATCCCGACTTGGTAGTACCTCATGCTTTCGAGGTTGTCAATTGTTATTATCTAGATTAGATGTAGACTTTAGCTAGTGGAGCATGTTCCACTAGTGTTTCATTTCCCATTTCATTTCATACTTTGAAATGGTGCCATTTTGGCAAGTACACATTTAATGCAGATATGAACCATTTCTTTCATTTGATGATCTTAATGTTAGATGGTTGATGGTGAACAATCATACATGTAATAAAATGTTTAATAAGCATGTTAGGAAATAAAAAGTTTCAAATTTTCCGCTAAAATTAATCTAGATGAAGTAAAAATGACATTTGTAGGCTTGTCTGCGACCTCCGAGAGGTCAACGATGCCGGTCTCGTCTGGGGTCTGATATACCGTGGTTTCACGATATTATTAATACTTTTTCCTTAAGTTTAGTGTGTCCAAAAGCCTTTTTGTGATAATTTTATATAAGTATCTCCTTATTTGTAGGAAATCTGTCCAAAGATGAATGCGGAGGTTTTTGAGCAAATAAATGCAAAAGAGACCACCTACGGAGCTTGTGACAGTCCGTCATGCTTGTGACGATTCATAGGTGGCAGCGTAGTGTAGCTGCTAAAGGAAGATGGGGAAGTCTGACCAAGTGTGGGGTCATGGAAAATGTGACAGACCATCGTAGCCATGACAATCCGTCCTGCAGGTTCATCATGAAGATCAGAGAAGTAGCCCAGTACCCATATTCCAAGAGTTCAAGTGTTTTGGAACGGAGCCCCTCAACGGACCATTGTGCTCGTAACAATCCGCCATACCTGCCGTCAAGGGTAATGAAGAGAGTAGCAGAAGAAATTTCATCAAGTATGGGACGACGGAGTCCATGAAGGTTGGTCGTGACCACGACGATCCGTCGCGATATCCGTCGATTCATCCGCGTTTTTGACAAATTTCCAGCAAATAGAGTCCTTGTTTCATTAGGTTTTTGTTTTCTATAAATAATTCGAAAAATGTCGTTTTTGAGGTTAGACTCTTGATTATTTTGTTAGACTCTGATCATTGTTAGACCTTTGACTATTGGGAGACTCTTGATTATTTTGTAGACTCTTTGAGAGATTATTGATTATCTTAAGACTTTTATCATTGATTGTTGGTGAGTTTTGCTGATTAATCAATTTAACTTTTGGATATTACTCTTTCTCATCGAAGTAAGTGCATGAATTCTTATATCACATATTTGAATATTGTAATTATGACTATGGGTAGCTAAACTCCATAACTAGGGTTGTGGGAACCATCGGTCAATAATGAGGTAAAACCTAACTAAAATAACAATTCTAGAATAGTGTCTTGCATGTATTGATAATTCTTTCTTTTAGAAGTCCTTTTAACGGATGGCCAACGTTAGAACTTGCCATAATGCTACTTGCCGGACCAAGGAGGTAGATAATAGGAAAAGAATTATCAACATAGATTTAGTGTATACTATCTAATATGCTAGTATTGATTGGTATGAGGTAATAACTTAGTCAAATATCGAATACGATGCTTAATATGAGGTAAAGATATGGGTTAGGGTAGCAACACATATAGCCGGACCAAGGTGTGGAGAGAAATTTTCAAGATGCCAGACCAAGGATTTAGAAATACACAACTTATCACTTTGCATGCAAGATACTAGGAAAGAATTGTTATAGTTAGACTTATCAAGTTATGAACTTGTGGGGAACACGTGAACCCTAGTTACTTTGATTAATTGATTAAAGTCCAACATTCGAAGCTGTTAGTTGTCTTATTTTATTTCCTAGTTATTTTCATTTATTAGGAATAGAAACCCCCCCCCCTTTTTTTTTATCATTTTTGCTTTCCAAGGAAGTAATTGACTGAACAATAGTAGTAATAAATTGAAGTTAAGTCTAAACTATTTTCCTCGTGGGAACGATCCAAACCTCACTAGTTGGGTTATTTACTTGACACAACCGCTTTACTTCTTATTTGAGAAGTAAGTTTCAGCGTATTTGGGTCTAGACTCTGGTCTTGACAAAGTTGGTATCAGAGCTCTAGGTTAAATTTTGAGGATAGTAAGTTCACATCTACCACATTGAGTAGTTTCTAAGTAATGGTAGTGAAGTTCACCACTATCCTGGATTAGAGACTACATGACGCGTAGGAAAATTTCCCTTCTTCTAATCTATCGTGCATTTTCTAATGTCGAATTTCTTGGTGTTAAGATCATATCTAACATCAACTCTTAAAGTTTCCAAAAGATGAATACGAGGAGAAATGCAGGCAGAGAGATTGGAGGAGCAAATGCTGAAGTAAACCAAGCTCCTCCCCAGGGCCCAGCTACTGAAATGGAGATGCCTGTTAACCTAGCTGGGTTGACAGATGGAGAATAAAGGATATCCTTGGAATAGATGGACCAAGCCATAACCTTACAAGATCAGGCTATGACAGCCGAGGCAGAGCAACAAGGTGTTCCCAGGATGAACCCACCTGCCAACACCATGGATAGTAGGTTAAGGGACTTCACGAGGATGAATCCTTACCTTTACACTGGATCTAAGATTGTTGAGGATCTCGAGGAGGAGTTTAGGGAATCTATGTTGCATGACAACATGGACCTCTCCAGGCTTATGGTCTATGTACAGCAAGTGGAGGAAAGCAGGAAGAATAAACACACTAGGGTAGGGAATATGTCAAGGCAAGCCGAGGAGAATTTTTCAAGAAAGAGTAGTACCGAGATCAGGGATAAGCCCAGGTTTAAGAAGGGACTCTCCCACCAAGGGGAGTGAAGTTCATCCAAGGGTCGCTATGATAGGAATTTTGAATTTAGAGTTAAGAGAACGAATGAAGTAGATACACCACAGGAGAGACCACCTTACACGAAGTGTGCAAACTACATGGAGGAGAGTGTATGATGGACACAAACGCTTCTTACAGTTGTGGCAAATCGGGTCACATGGTGAAGGATTGTATTAATAGGAGAATTCAAAAACAAGGGAAGGAGAGAGTTCATCCTAATGGTCCAAGTGAAGAGGATCTAAGGAGGCAATGATTCTTTGCACTCAAGTCTAGGGGTGCAGGGGAAGGCACCTCTGGTAAAGTCTGAGGTGAGTAGCCTTAATTAGTTGTTCAGGTATTTAACTGTGAATGGTGTGTATGCACTAGTATGAGGTTAATATGTTTGAGACATCATGTTGGTTCTGATTTGTATGATTTATATGTTTACTTATGTTGTATGCTTTGATGAGACTAGTTTAGGAAATAGTTCCTTAGTCTATCAATGTGAAACTATTAGTAGGTTTCAAGGATGTGTACCATCATGTTAATATGTGAATCAGATATTCACCAATGGGGAGTATTGGATTACCTATGTAGGCATACATTTTATAGATGACTTACTTATTGTTAGTAAAGAGTAGTGTCATTCGGGGACGAATGTTCCTAAGTGGGGGATAATGTAACAACCCTAAAAATGAATATACTAAGAAATGTTTAATGTGTCTAGAATGCCTACGATTAGACCGGGTTCGCACGGATAGATGCACGTAGAACCAAACCTCTTAACCCTTGCTACAACAAGGAAAATTAACTTGGGGAGTTAGTTGAGCTAGAAAAGGTTAGGTCCAACCATGTAGGTCTCTCGAATACGAAGATTTATTCGAAGGAGTCTTTAGTAGAGTTAAAAAGAGGAAATCTTAGGTTTGGAGGGTCTACTGGTAAAATGGTCTTTTTTTCAGGCTAAGGGTAGTATCGTAATTACCCTAAATATACAATTAATTATTTAATTAATAAGATAGAGGGTTATTTTGGGGAGAGAGGGCCAAAGTTGGATTGTTGAAGTGAAGTCTTGCTCCACCCGTGTTCGAAGCTAGGTGGAAGTAATGAATTAAATTGTTTTAATTTACGTTGGTAAATGAATGTAATTAATTTATATTTATTATTTATTAGCTGATTTAAAATAAAAGGAAATCAGATTATTAATAATTAAATAAAACTTATTTGACTAAGTCCTAAACTAGACTCCTAAGCCTAACAAAACTCTTCTCTCCCATGCTCATCTCTCTCTCTCACGTCTCTATTACTCTCACTCACATTTTTCTCTGCCAAATAACGTACAATAACAGTAGGTAAACTAAAGTTCTTCACACTTGAAGAACCCAAAACGAAAATTATAAACAAACAACTAATCAAACACGTTAGGCAAGTAAAGGGTTTTTCGGTCGAGTTAGTGTTGAATTTGAGGGGATTTGGGCGTGATTTTTGGAGAATATTTTGGGCAGAAAGTTGAGGTTTGAACGTCATAAAAGGTATGGGTTTTCTTACTCTTGGTCACTTTCCCAAGAGACCTTTAAGGCTCAGGTGAATCTACTAAAAACTAGGGTTGCTCCCGTTCTTGTCGAACTCCTTGTCTTTAGTGTCCCTTTGATATGAATGTGAAATAGGTTAGATATCATATTGTTGGTATGTTTGCTGGTAGTTTAAGTGTTAAGTTTTATTTTCGTGATAATGTGTTTTGAATGGTAAGCATGTTAAGTTATGTCAACCAAAAGTATGTGAAAAATGATATGTTTTGATGGTTGAATTTTATGTGCGAATGTTTGTGTAAATGATGAGGTGCAAAAGTGGTGTAATGTTGCTGGATGAAATGGTAATTCTTGTCTGAATATAATCTTAAAAATATAACACTTAAAGATGTACCAAATGATCCGTGAAATGCCTTAAGAATTAATGTATGAATGATGATAAAAAGAAGCTGAAAATAGTGAATAAATTTCAAGCATTTGGTAGGTTAGGTTGGGTTCGAAAAAAAAAAGGTACAAAATGCAATGAAAAATGAATGTAAAATAAGTTAGATAACTAAGGATTGAACCCAATACATAATTACATGAAATCTACAAAAAAAATCAACAAAAGATTAAGAAAAAAATGGATTGGAAGAGACAAAATGTCAAGCTTGCTGGAAATTGTAGTCTCGGTAAAATTTTAAAAAAATGAGCTTGGTTTAATTTTTTTAAAATGTGAGGTCATTGGGGATTGAACCCATGACATCACTAAATTAAAATTTCGCAAAAAATTCATGAGAAAAATGCAAGGAAAAATAGATGTGGTGAGTCTAGGTGAGAAAGTTAAGAGATATATTAAAATAAAAATAATGAGCTTGTGGGGGATTGAACCCACAACCTCCTTGACTTAAACGAAAAGGGAGAGGATAAAAAGGGAGAAAATATTATGGGGTTGATGGGGATCGAACTAGAGTCCCCCATATCTAAAAAATGCGAAAAAAGTTTACAATAAGATTAAGTGTTGGACTAGTCCCCCAAATCTGAAAAATGCGAAAAAAGTTTACAATAAGATTAAGTGTTGTCCAAGGGATTTGAAATCGGGTTCCCTTTCTCAATTCCGTATTGACACATAAGTCATACGCAAGTAAATATTTAATCAATACTGCCTTTAAAGATCGAAGTCAATATCTTGTCATATCTACAAGATGCATAAGTCTTGTACGACATAATCTTGGGTAAATATGAATCACTTAGACAAACTATGAATGAAGCCCCATGGCTTGTATGTATAGACCCATAAGTCTAGCATAAGTTTTAAAGTAAATGAACCCAAAATGTATGTAATGAAATGATGAAACCCTAGAAGGGTTAAGTACGAGTATAAAATACACTAAACGACCAAGTGCATTGGCATATGATAAATTGAACAACAAAACGATGAAATGAACAATGAAATGATGAAATGAACAATGAAATGATGAAACACTTGAAGGGTTAAGTAAGAGTGTGAAACATACCAAATGGCCAAGTAAATTCGCATATGATGAAATGAACATTCACGTAAAAAGGGGTGAGTAACTATGAAGAGCAAATGTACTAATGATAATGAATGTGGTGACAACATTATATGAGGCTAATGTAAAAGATGAGAGCAATCTCAAATGAGCGTCAGTAAATGTTACCAAAACGTACTCACCTATGAGAGTGTAAAGATAATGAAGAGACCAATCTCTATGAAAACTCTAATGAAAGTATTGATATTAACACACTTAATACTAATGATGAGATGACAAATCATCTATTAAGCTATGATGTCCTCATACTAGAATCCAACTTCCATGATGTATGAGTTGAATGTAATGGAACTTTATACTAAGCATCGATAGACTAGCTATGAGCGATGAGGCCTTCTTTTGGGAAGGGCAGAGGTTCACGTAACTCTCATAAGATTAGACAGTCCGGCATGCCAGGTATGGGTCTCATTATATCTCTTTTTGAACCTATACTGCCAATATAGGGATCTGGCGGGGCTCAATTCCCATATACGCTAGCATTTTTGGGTCAATTTGGCCAATGAAGCGACCTCTTTTTGGTGTGGGATTTCATGACACTGGATTTCATTATGCTCACATGATCTATGTCGGTTTAAATTAAAGTTTTCAATGAATGAATGAGGCCAACCTCAAATGATGCATATAATGAAACGAATGATACCAAAGGTGTTAGGATAGGATAATCAAGAGGTGAATTTGATTCAAGTAATACCATTAGGTCATTCTTTGTCATTGCACAACGAACCCGAAGAAGGTCTTAATCTACATCCTAGGTATACTTGGTGTTTACACTGGCCCATGAATGAAATGAAATGAAGTATGTACGAATGAACGAAGCACACTCTGTGTTTGCTAAAGCACACTCCCTAGTTGAGGTACCATATGTTGAACCATCATGTTTGGGAAGTCATAATGTCAAGTCCATGATTCCAAGGTCTCATGTCAAATGAATGAATGATATGAACAACATTATGTGTTACAGGAATTATGATATGTGCTATGTGTACGATGTTGTGTGCTGAGTGCTGTGTGAAAAATGTTAAGTATGATATGCATGTAAATCGCATGGCATAACTTTCCTAATCCAAATTTTGGAAGCATATAAAATTTCCTAATCCAAATTCGGGAAGTTGACTTAACTTCCAAATCTCAATTTGGCAAGTCCATTGACTTGACCTGCTATAATCATATTTCTAGGGAAGTGCTATTCTTTGTTTTGCATGTCCTTGGTGTGTGGTTGCATATACTCATACTTAGTACAAGTGTTTACTAATTCCATACAACTCTATATTTTAGGTGTAGACACAGGTGGATGCTAGAGCTTACAGGTTGACATTGTAGCTATCCGGACGTGGAGCTTTCATCCGGACTTGATAGGACCTCATGCTTTCGAGGCTATCTACTATTATTATCTATATTATATGTAGACTATATCTAGTGAATCATTTTCAACTACTGTTTCATTTCCCATTTTATTTCAGACTTTGTATTGGTGTCGTTTTGGAAAGTACACATTTAATGCAACTACGAACTATTTCTTTCATTTGATGATCTTAATGTTACATGGTTGATGGTGAACAATCATACATGTAATATAATGTTTAGTAAACATGTTCGGAAATAAAAATTTTCAAATTTTCTGCTAAAATTATTCTAGATGAAGTAAGAATGACGTATTTAAGCTTCTTTGCGACCTCTGAGAGGTCAACGACGCCGGTCTCGTCTGTGGTCTAGACTCTGGTCCTGACAGCTGTTGTGTGCTATGTGCAAAATGTTAAGTATGATGGTGCATGTTACTCTCTTGTCATAACTTTCCTAATCCAAATTAGGAAAGCTCATAAACTTTCCTAATCCAAATTTAGAAAGTTCACTATCTTTCCTAATTTCAATTTGGAAAGTCCATTGACTTGACATGCTAC